TGAGGCAGATCTCCATGCACCGTCCGCTTCATCTGGAGAGATTCCGTGAGATGCCGCTCCGCTGCCTCCAAATCACCCTTCGCCTTGAAGAGCATGCCCAGCTCGTGCAGAGTGACAGCCACTTCCAGATGAGGGAGATCTCCACGCACCGCCCACTTCATCTGGAGAGATTCCGTGAGATGCCGCTCCGCTGCCTCCACTTGACCCTTCTGGCTGAAGAGCATGCCCAGCTCGTGCAGAGTGACAGCCACTCCCAGATGAGGCAGACCTCCATGCACCGTCCGCTGCATCTGGAGAGATTCCGTGAGATGCCGCTCTGCTGCATCCAAATCACCCTTCGCCTTGAAGAGCATGCCCAGCTCGTGCAAGTTGATGGCCAGCTGGTCTTTGTTTTTTGCTGCGTGGAGGCGGCGAATGGCTTCCTGTAGCGGTCCCACAGCTTCCTCGGGTCTTCCTTGTTCTGAGCAATAGGAAACAAATAGCTTCATCAACCATGCTGAATCAAAGATATCATCTGCGGACAACTGGCTCGTTGGCAGCCAGTCCTTGCCGAGACAGGCCTCACAAATGTCCACATCACACTGGCGACAGCCAACTCCCTGGAACGCGGCTGGCTCAGTGTTCACACCGCAAGCGCTACAAATGCAGTTTTTTGGACGAGAGCGGGTCACCTCATGATCCGCGTTTAAGGGGCACTGAGGCCGAGCACCTCTGCAGCTCGCGGCGAAGTCGTCCAAAATCTGCCTGAGCTGGACCTGAAAGCCCTCAGGCGTCAGTTCGGGCCGTGGATCTTGAATCTCCCGCAGCTCTGGGGGTGGCTCGGAAGACCCTGGTGCAGGGCCCATCTGGAACGAGGTGTACGTAGGTGCCGCGACGCTGCAGGCATCGGTCGGCGGCCTGTCCCCGCCTGATTTTTGGGCCGCCTGCACCCTAACTTGAACGCTCTGTCCCGGCACGTAGTCATCCTGCTCTTCGTCCTCCAAAACAGGAACGCTGCACTTCCCGAGCGGTGGCACTAGTAGGGCAACGGTAGCTGCAAAGGCTTTACACTGGCTGAAGTTTCTGCAGCAACAACCTGAGACTCTGAACCTAAAAGGGCTCTCTCGAAGTCCTGTACGTCATGAATAAGTATATGACTGATATGACGACATGACGTGACCGGACACCCCTACAAGCCAACATCCATGAATGTCATTGGCCCAACAAGCCTGATCGATGCCACCTGCTTCTGCTTCTGCTTCAGCCTCCGGGCACTCAGCGGATGGCCAAGCAAATCTTCCCTCGCACCCAACCCTTTCACCCGCGGCTTCCACATGTTGCCATATGCATCAGGACTCAGCAAACTGTGCAGCAGACATCTGAAAGCGATAGGCAACCTGCCATTGCGTGTCAAAAAAAAAGTCTGCGCACTTGCCTCGAGAGACTTGTTACCACCCAGTGCTAATCGCATTGCCATGCCGGGCGCAGGCCTCATCGTCTGAGCTGCGACTGTCTTGCTGTGCCTCCATCTGATGGATTTTGATATTGTGGCAGCTGTCACTGGGAACTTAGCATGAATAGGACATGCAAGCATTCTCTCCAGTATCGTCCCTGCTTTTCGAGTGGTAGTGCCGGTCAAAATCAGTTGCTGGGGTTGTCTCTAATCAGAGCAGCTGCAGCTTTGCGCTGGAGGCTCATCGTGTCCAGTATGGACTTGAAAATAATCAGGTCAGGCAATGATCGGCCCTTCCGTTGCCAAACAATGAACAAGCCCCACCATAGCTCTTCCACGACATTCTCCCACCAAATCTATTTCTAGGAAAGGCTCCCTCCCTCCCTCACACTGCATGCTTACGCCCAAAGCCCTCCGCCGTGATTGAAAACTGCCTGGCCAACAGACGGATAACAAAAATTCTTGAAAGGAAACTACACAGGGACTAGCAAGGACTTTTCACAAATCGTATCTACGCCGCTGTCGTGCGCAGAGTAAACACATGCCTGAGATGTCCATGTGGTGCATGCTGGAGTCTACATGAAGGGGGTGGGCTCTAACTCAATCGAGATCAAGTGGCAGCGGGCTCTTGTCGGAAGAGAACGTTTGGGTTGTCCTTGGCGGCAATCGAATCATTGTATTGTTTGCTTACTGACCCTAAGTCATTGCTTACCTTGTTCAGTTAGGAACTACCATGACAGTTGGGAACTCGGAATTCCGATTCTGAGTTCTAGCAATATTAACATGTGAACACATTTGAAGTACTCTTCCCATCAATCTCTGATCCTATGATGACATGGTGCATTTACCTTTAAGACTGGATGAGCTTCCTGGTTTGGAAGGGTTGCGGGACCTCAGTCTCTGGGAGACCTGAGGGTCTCTCCATGGTCACGGAGCCTCCCAGCGGGTAGCACATCACCAGCTAAGTAGTTTTGCCAATTTTTGCTTACAACTACACATAAAGAGAACAGTTTCTAAGTACGAGGGCTCAGCGAGGAAGATTACCTGCAACATCAAGGATTCCCAATTGGGTTGACATGACTGAAACCGTGGTCTTTGCCCTGGGACTCCCCTCTCATCGTAGGTAAAACTTCAAATATGCTACGCAGCCAACATGAAGTTACCGCATCCACGTAAACCAAGATGGTAGTCTACAAGATGAACGAATTTGAAAACCATCGTTTAGGACTTCTTCAAATGAACTCAAGAAGTTGAAAACCTGTTGTGGGGAAATTCCAAATTGTAAGCCACACTTTCTAAGTTAATCGCTAATCAATTCACCTTCTCCTTGGATGCCAGGACCAACTCACATAGACACTTGTGCAACCCACCTACAATTTCTGCCGAATTCACTTACCATCCTTCCAGTCCGGGCCTCATGTCTTGATACGGGGCACAGAGCGTTTCTCCAGCCCGGGCCAAGCAACACACTTACAAAATCTATTCATTGCTTACACATCTTCCCAAAACAGTGGAGAAAGAGTAGTTTCATTGCTCGGTGTACGGCTCAACCGCTTTCCTATGCGGAACTTAAGTGGATGTACGCACGAGAGGGAAATGAGGGAACGCATTCAGCATCCTCACTGCACCTGAGCAAGCTTCCCGCGCTAAAGAAACGAACCATCCAGCTGGTCTATATGGGCTGTTCTCAAAACTATGGGCTTCTTTTGGTTATAGATTACTTTACCGCACCTAATATCTAGGATTGCCAAAATGGGACCCTGGTTTAGGGAACTATCCAGCTGAACAGCAATGGCTGCCAAAGTGAAAATGCCATCACCAGTACCATCAGTGCTAGCTTGCACCTGCTATCGACTAGCACCCCCCCCCACCCCCCGCCCCCCGTCTGAAGCAGGATGGACTTATGGACTTGCGTCCAAGGAGCCTCCTGGGATCTTTTGAGACTTCGAACCGACCGCCTTGGATTGAACAACCGCAAGGAGGAAGCATGGGAGAACATCCTTCAAAATCAAAACCACAGAAACAAAGCCTCAAGACAAAGATGCTGAGTTGTCAACAAACAGACTACCGCCATCCTAAGTGCAAAGGCCCGAAGCAGCGGTGCACATCCCAGGTGCTCCGGTCCCTCACATCACAAGCAGCTACCGAAAACCTCATGAATGCATCCAGGTGCAGGATGTCGGAAGCCGCACGCGTCAGCTCCGCACGGTCAGCCCCGTCCATTCTAAGCACATCCAAGGCAACCTGGTAAATGCTGGTCAGCGCCTGCAGGCATACATGGGATGCACGCAAACACCAGCAAGGTTGCAGTGTTGGACATGCACGTGTGTTGTAAAGCTGAAAAGCACCCAGTTGGCCGCGCCTCTGGGTCAGGCTCTCCAGTGGGACGATCACGTGAAGACTGGCCCGGGTCCTCTCCCAAGAGACGCAGAATCTGCTCGGCGCCCGGCTGGATTGCTCCCGCAGCAGCTCTGAGGTGTGTCACCTCGCGGTTGTGATTGGCCTCCAGGGCTGGGGCCGCCGGGCGCACGATCTCGGCGAATCTTGCCTGCACCCTCTGCAAGGCTGCTGCGTCTTGGAGGGGCTCAGAGACACTTCTGCAAGTGGCCAGCAGCGCGGTGCTTCCAAGCCCATTGCCCTCCCGCAGCTCCTGCCGATTTTGGCGAACCAACCAGTTTGGGAGCGCGTCCACCAAACGCAGAACTTGGCACAGGCTCAGCCCGAGCCTCGGCTGGAGGAAGGCATCTACAAGTGCTTGCAACAACGGTCTGATGTGTTTCCATATAATACTATCTGTTCAATTCATTCTTGGGTTCAACACTTCCTTGGGTGAGGAACTAGGTCGGAGTTCTTCAGATGAATTTACCTGAAAACTCCCCATCGTCCTCATGTCAACCCAAAACCCTGCAGGATAAGAGCCCAAAGCTACACGTCTCGTCCCACATCCAGACCTAAGGAAAACCCTAACTCAGAATTTCTAAAACCTGAAGCGCCAAGGGAGCACCCTCAACCCCAGCAAGGGGCAGTCTCCTAAGTTCAGTTTAGATGCACAGCTGTGATGGTGCTTCCTGCCAGCTCCCCTGCCCGTGTTTTGTCCTGCAAGGCATCAGTTTTTCTGCTGCAAAAAGAGGATATTCTCAGAGCCAATCCCTAACATGTGTCGCATCATCGCCATCAGAGATCCAGAGAAAACCTCCAAGCACGAAAGACCCTCTCGAAGGACCGTTGAGTTGCGTTAGAATGTCCTGGAGCTCCCTTGTCCCCAGCAAAAACCGCAAAGGCGGCCTGGGCAGCGTCTCTCAGCAAACTCATGTGCTGGCTTCCTGGATTCAAGAGCAATCGGAAATAGGAATCCCTCGCAGCATGTATAAATAAATTCTTAGGCTCGTTTAGGGATTAAAGATGCTGACAAAAAGACTCGGCCGTAACTAGCTGCTTCTCAGATGAATAGATGCGGAAACCCATCAAAGCCTGAATAAGGCCACCAATGCTGCTAAGGCTGAGTGCTGAACAGTTGCAGCCAGAGCGGCAGCAAACGCAGGATACCCTCTTCTTGAACCCTGAACCCTGAACTTGAACCGTAAATCCTAAAACCCTACGACCCTAAACCCTAAACCCCACTGTGGAGAGTCTGTGTATAGCCCATTATAGTAGTTTCCATTTTCTTTTCCATTATCCCAAGATAACCCTTATATGTTCCCTACAGAATCCCTATATGAACCCCTTATAATCTCTATAGTCCCTGTACTTTCCATTTTCTTTTCCATTATCCCAATATAACCCCAACATAACCCCAATGGGCCCCTAGCATGGACTTTGCCAAGACCCCCACCAGCGGCCATTGACCATCAGGCCAAGCCTCCAGGCGATCTCTCTTTCCTGGATGATACTTTGGTGCTTCTGGATTCTGGATTATAGGGCCATCGGCCATCGTTGGGATGTTTAAGCTCTGGCTTTGGGGTCATCTTTTAGGCAAAAGTATTTCATAGGGTCTTGGAGCCTTCTTCCAGATCATTCTGAAAAGTCTTCCAGCAACGGCCCAGTATCACAAAATGCCAGCGTCGCATCTGCCTCGCATGTTATCGAAACACGAAAGCCGCTGGGCCGCGACACCTGGCAATGGTTCCGAGACGCTTCCGACACCAGGACTCCCCAAAATCCCGTAGCTTTATAGGGTTTAGAGTCTATCGATAAGGGTTTGGGGGTTAGGGTGTAGGGTTTAGGGTCTAGGGAAACAGCAGTGATGATTGTAAAAAAACAAGCCTTAAGACCACCGTACGGTACCCCATAGTACAAGCATCGGCTAAGTTGGCACGCGGTCTAGCAACACGAAGGTGTTCCGCTGAAGGTACCCTGAGGACTGCTTCGGCTTCCTGCACGGGCTCCGCGACTCTCAAAGTCTCTGGCATAACTTGGAGCGCTGTTGAAGTGCTCTTTACCCTACAAGTCCAAGGACCCCAATAACAGGGTTTTAGGGCCCAGATGCCCTTAATATTAAAAAGAAAAAACTATTATTCGGGTGCTTGGACCCTTAGGGTTATAACCCTATTATGATATTCTAGTTTCCATTATATTTTCCATTATCCCAATATAACACCTGTATGACTCCTATGATGCTCTTCAATGTTCTTGGATCTTGGACTGCTCTTGGAAGGTTTTTCGAATCCTGTTGCCGTGGTCCTGGAATCCTTCCGAAAGGTCTTGGAGTGCATGTTGGGTTTTTTCGGGTGCCTTTGGACCACTGCTACGCTGGAATAGTTGACTGGAGACCGGAGCAGGTTACGCAATCTGCATCTTTATTGCAACCCTGTCCCTGGACTAGAGCATTTGTCTCCCGAAAGGGTACAGAGGCCAGGATTCCCAGTCAAATCATTGGGGACGGACCCTCGGTCTTTAAGACAAGGACCCTCCGCTGCGCGCATTTGCTTATTGGCGTCTAGCCGGGAACTACGGAAGATGCGGGGACGACTATAAGAACCACTGCAGCAGTCCATTCCCTTCTGGTCTACTAACTAGTACGTTTGGCCCTAAGTAGTAGTTTCCATTTTCTTTTCCATTATCCTTCAATAACCCCTATAAACAATATAGTAATTTCCCATTCTCTTTTCCATTATCCCTATATAACCCCTATAAACCCCTAAGGAAACCCCGGAAAAACCCAGCCTCGAAGGTAGAGCTGAAGGCCTGCCCAAGCCTTGGTCACTTGTAAGGTTGCGGGCTAAGGCCCAGGATCTCATTATGATTTCTTGCCTATTGCGTGCATGGGGTCTCCGGGTATACCGGAATATCTCAGGTCCTTCCCTGAGGCTTCAAAAGCCCTCGAATACGGTTTTTGCCTTTGTATCTCAAACCTGACTCAAGTCCTCTTTCAAGGCTGAATCTCGACCGATAGCCTTCAGACTGATTGCTGCTCTGTCTTCACTGCGAGACGCAACCCTGAAAAGTTAAGCTTTGAATAAGGATTGCCAAGGATGTCTTGAAAAACGCTGCTTTCAGATGTTCAGCAGGTTATTTTGCAAATCCTTCCCGAGAAGCAGCCACGTTGCGCAAAACTCAGGCCTCAAAATCCTACTGGCTACATCTGCAACAACCCAGACATTCAAGTCTCTCCCACAAATTGACTTTTTCTAAACATTTACCACTTTCTTCTCATGTCCTTCGAGGCAAACTCTCAAACTCCTGCTCTCAAGATTCTCATGTCGGCACGTTGGGTTTGGTAGTCTTCTGGCCAGCGTACAGATTACCATGCAAGTGAGCTGCACTGGCGATCCTGAACCATCCGGCCGCTCCATGGAGCAAAAAGCTTCTGGATGCGTCAAGCTAAACTTTGCTTCCCTCCTAGAAAGAATCACAAGGTTGAAGCAGGATCGGACATTTGCACCGAAAGCAGAAAGCACATGTTCCTAGAGCTTTGGCCTGACTTGGGAAGGGGATGTGCGCAGGATTGAGGGACCTTGTGGGTCTGTATCATAAATTTTAAGAGCTGGTCAAGTTCTCGCCTTGGGAGTTGAAAAGATTGCCTGCGTGACCCTAGCTCTGTACAGCTTGAGCTTCAACACCAACAAGAGAAATGAAAAAAGAAGACCGAGATGTGGTGTTGCCAGTGGCTGCAGCTGACAAACGCAAGCCGGACACCAGGTTACAGACACCAGGTTGCTGCGAGAACTCATCCGGCACTGCCAAGACTAGCGCCAATGCTGTGCATAAATGTGCACTCGATGCCCTAGCTCCTAGACCCAAAGTCGCAGAGCTCACACGGCCTCGTGTTTTTGCTGCGATGCTCCGCTTGGTCCCTGCTACTTGCCTTCTTCTTCACAATTCTCACTGCCTGCGATGGCCTGCTTCTTTACTTGCAGACATTGACTTGGCTTGGCGTGCTAAATTCACTAAGCTTGTTCACTGCGCTCGACGCCAAGAACTGCAACTCAACCAATTCGAACTTAAGTCGATCCGACATTTGAGGACTTCAAGGGTGTGGCTTAAGGGCTTCTTCAGAACCTTCACGATGTGAAGCCGCTGGAATTGGGGGCTTGACGGGTTTTCAGCTTGCAAAGTTTTTGAAAGGTTCCCAAGCTTCAGGTGTTGGGGCTTAGGGTGCAATATAGGAGTTTTGGGCTTGTGGGTTGTGCGCGTAGGGCCTTAGAGGCGAGCCGCAAATGGAATACAATCCTCAAGTTGAGGCCATGGCAGCTTGGAACCTTCAATACGTCTCAGGTCTCATAATCCACTATGTGCGGCGGTGGTCAAAACTGGGGTCCTCTTTTGGAGGTTCCCATTACAGCAAATGGCCTCTAACACCCCAACAGAAAACACAATGTTGACCACTCCCATATATGAACCATGGCCGCAACAAAACTTAAACGCCTGGATTTGCACAGCCTGGGAAAACACCGCTCCTGCAGCCCCCATGTTTCCCCCCCAAAAAAGCTTAAGGCCTTCGGGGTCCCCACAAAATCCCAGTCACAGCCTTTTGAGCTCCGTCAGGGTTTTCCCTGGGGCTTCGAAGTAGAGAGCCCAAGCTATTTAGGGTTATTTAGGGGCTTAGGGCAGTTTTCAAGTTTAACGTTCCCATGTGGCCTAGAGCTTCCATTTCAATGAACGAAGATTCTGTGGACATTTTTGGGCTTTCTTAGTCCGGTTGCCTACTGGGCACGGCTAAAACAGTTTCAGACATGATCAAATCCAGTCGGGCGTGGCCTCAAGATACAGCGCATTCGTGCGTACCCTGACCAGTAGCTGGAGCTGGCATTGTTGGCAATTCCGACCACAAACATTAAGAAAAGGACAGTTCACATGAAACATTAAGGCAGTACTGAAGCTCCAAAACATCCAGCCGGTTCATGAAAACCTCGAAAGCCAATCGCTGAGACAAATAGCCTCCGGCAGCTCTTCGCGCAGTGCCTGCATGATGAAAATACAGACCATTACCCCCACTGAAGCATCGGTCATGTTAAGTTGCAACTGTCGCGCATCATGCCTCGCTGTAGATCAGCTCGGCAGCACGGTCAGGCCGCTCCTCAGGCTTCCGAAGTAGGAAGCCGCTGCTGTTGAGGGTTATTGACGGTTCAGGGCAGCTTTCAGGTTGGTCGTTCCCATGTCTCGAGCTTACATTTCATGAGCGAAGATTCTGTTCACATGTTTGGAATTTCTTTTTCGTGTTGCCTACAGGGCACGGCTAAAACAGTTTCAGCCGTGATCGAATCCAGCCTGGCGGGCTTGCAGATACAGTGCATTTTTGCCTGCCCTGACCAGTAACTTGAGCTGCCACAAAACATCAAGGACATGAAAATTGTTAAGGCCTTCCTGTGACAGCATCGGCGGCTACAGGAAACACCAAGGACGGTCACCGGTCACGAGGCTTGGCGCACAGGCCGGCGAGCCGCTGCCATCGCAAGATCTAATCCCCTTTACCCGCAACACGTTGAACCAATGGTGCAAGCACTGCTTGAGTGGTAACGCAAGGCCCGACTTCCCAAGCAATGTCCCATGAAAGTGTGTGTCCGAGACCGAATAATGCCGGGTGGCCATCAGGAGGCGAAGAGCCACATCGACCTCGGGATCGGTTTTAGGCGAAGCTTCGTTCTGTTCAAGATGCTACCCATAGACTCCAGCTGCCATACCTAATGAGCCTGCCTGTTCCTGAGCAAGTTGGAACTTCTCTAACAAGTTCAAGCAAGGGGGCTCCCTGCCAGCCAATGCCCTGAAGCAGGTAGCGGCAGCAGGGCTCATCGAGGGTGGAGATCTGCGCCGGCATGCAACAAGCATACTCGATGGAACTGAAGGCTCGACACCCTAAGCTGCCACGTCTCACTTCAAGGCGATGCTGTGCTGAACCAGCAACCATTATCGCGCTCTCGTGCTCTCAGCTGGGCCTCCACCAGCTGCTCCACTGCCTGCCAAGACAAGAAACACAGTAGGATTGCTGGAGCAGCACAGCAAACAGCCATCCATGACACGCCAACGGACGCGTGCACAAACAAACATCCACAGGCCTTGCAAACACTAAAGACCTTTCCCCAAATGCGTAGCAGTAGGGTTTTGGTGTTATGCAATTCTTGTCAGCCCTGCTTTCGCAAGCGTCCACAAGTCTCGCACGGCGCTGTGAGCAAACACTTTCACCGGGTGTTCGCTATCCTTTCAAGTTGGACTGCTGCCAGCCTGCAGTCAAAACAAAGCCTGCTCTCCAGGCCTCGTGACGCGCCAGCAGCAGGTCAATCATCCACAGCGCATACTCTTCCTCCGACGTTTCAAAGGCAGCGCCGCCACCCCAAAAGAACTGTGAGCATTGAGCTGCTGAGAAGCTATAGTCAACCTTTCAGGTTCTACTCCCGGGCTCCTTTTCAGTGACATGCAGGGTACCAATTCAAGAATTCCCTAAT